TGTTCCATTTTGATATCCCTTCGTTCTGTTCCATTTTAATATCCCCTGTTTTAACTATAAAAAGTTATTGTAGTAACGTTTCGCTATCACAAGATACTATCAGAATAGTGCTATCAGGTGATGATACCACATGTTGCAATCAGATCAAAAAGATTTTCTACTTGTGCTATCATATGGTACTACTAGGCAGCTCTACTGGATGGCTTGACATTGTAATTAGAAACCATATTCAAATATCTAAGTAAATATAACATATGCTTTAGTTATCGAATCTGTCCACTCTACATGAATTGTATTGTTGGTCCTTAATCCTAAACCCACAAAACAGTTGCATTAGTGCCTTCTGATGTGCTGTTCATCGGAAATATATCTATACAGGTTTATTGCGAGATTCACTTATAACTTTCACTTAGATTCACTTATTGCCAGATTCACTTATAACTTCGCTAAACGTAAGAAAAGGTAATGATAATGACCTAAAAATCCGAAACAAATCGAATCCTCTCTTACAACATCCTTTTTACCTTGCGGAGTGGAAACTATTAAGACTTAAATTACGTCTATTTTAGGGCTGTTACAGATCGATTGTTGCAGTTCTCTGGCATTCGTTCAATTTTGGATAATAGGTGTTGGTTGATTTTTCTTTGTCCTGTTGGTGGCCTCGTGGTCTCCCGGGATTACCCGCTCTGTCTGGGAGCTCGTGTGATTGTCTCTTGTGTTATTCTGGTATTCTAGAAATGGCGTGAGACACGTGAATACTATGAGCTGTATAGGCCTAGTCTCAGGCTTATGGTGTTAGTTAATTTGTGGTGATTTGTGAATTTGTGGTGATTGATACTAGGCTGATATCCTGTTGTATGTAATACTTACTATGGTACCAGTCTATTGGTTGGATAGACCATCAGTGATAGAATCCTGGAAGGTCTATTTATGCATCATATCTTTTCCTACCAGGCTTAATTTTCGGAGTTTTTCACTGTTGATGCGTGTTTTGATTGAAATTTGCAAGCATCTAAGAATTATGCAAATATTGGAGCTGAATTTTTACGCATTACTGCAAAAGTTGTGACTTGTAAGTAACGTGTGGTGTTGGAGAATTTAGGCATTTTATATGGGTAAAGTTTGTCTTGCAATAGATATGCGTGAATATTGTCCCAAATTTCCCATTCTAAAGCAACTGGTCTTGGCAAGTGATGTAGAAAATGTAGCTTTGTCGAGCGTAAGAGTCTTTCATTATAGTTAGAAATTTTGAAAACTGAATGGAAACGAAAGAGTAGATTTATACCCATTTACTCATTATTTCCATTCTAAATATTTCATTGGACGAGGTTGACGTTGACACGTAGGATGAATGTATGCATAGAATGAGAATACATATGACTTTTCCAGTTATAAAGTTCATTTTTCCAAACACATATACGTAGTCGTAGCTTCCGTTCCAAATTTATTGTTCGTATAAGTTGCTAACATTTGAAAAATCAAATTTGCTGCCGTTTTCGGTAGTCACTTGCTTTTTTCTTTTACTCCAAAGTTTTGATTTCTGTCTCAAATTTTGATTTCTATTTCTAGCAATTCACACAAGCAAGGATTCGAAATTTCATAAAGATTTCCGGTAAATTTTATACCGCAACTTTCCCGTTAATTTTTTGTTAATCTTTCCGGTTCTCTTATTTGCTAAAATACGGCTGCTGCATCTGTTTCTTCAAGGTTTTACGAGTTCTGAAGTACGGCAGCTGTTACCAATTTTTTGCAAGCATCTTCCGTTACTGTTGTCTGATGTTCAAATATTTAGCATCAAGTATTTAGCAATTCACAAATAATACAGTGACAGCTAATCAATCACTTTGCTGTATATCATCATCAGGCATGTAACTTTCAGCACATAGTGAAACAAATACGTGTATTCTTTTTGAAATTTATGATTTAACAAAGTAGATATGCGAATACCATTGGCTTTGTTGTGATTCTTCTCTTATAATCAATGTTGCCAGAGATGCAGTTGTTCGATTAATCTCTGGTAAATTTTTCGACCTCATGATAATAAACATTAAACTGGAGTGAAGAAACAGTTTCAGGAACTGCTGCGCTAAAATCAAAATTGTTGATAAATTTTATGGATTAAGTTGCAGAAATGAGGTGGAAATGAAGAATTTAGAAATCAACCAGAAAAAAAAGAAATTTTAATAGAGTACAGACATCCGCGCATCACAAAAGACAAGGGAACGAATAATTTTGAAGAAAGCTGAAGGATATAGGGTTGGTTTAAAACCGTACATAAAGTTATCTCAGTGTCATTTCGTTATGTACGATGCTTAATGGGAAACGCTTTAAGCAATATCTTTTAAGAAAGGTTAACTTCCTCAAAAATATCAAGTACTCACATAAAGAGAGTTTCTCTTCGTTATTTGCGATATTATTTTATTTCTTGTCGGTCGTAACTTCTTCAGCAGGTTGTTCTTCTGGTTCTCAAAGTTAAAGCCATTAAATTTTTTTATATTTAGATGCTGCCATTCCTCGCTTTTTGCTTCAAATCTTGCATTTTTTATAGTTTTGTCAATCTGAAAAAAATTAAGCAGATTGGGAAAGAAATAAACAGGTTTTGTAGTTTATCTTCCGAAAGCTTATGATGTGTATGATTGTGTTCTGAATGTATGCAGTTACCTTTATTCCAAGAAATATGGATTGAACTTGGATAGATGATCATAAATATTGAAGACTAAGCTTTAGCACAACGTATTGAAGAGTATTTTTGATTGTTGGATAATATATATTGAGTCTAATAATTTTCAAGAAAACTATGGTTGGAAGATCATAATAGGTGCTTTCGGGAAGTAATTAACTAATTGCTCGTAGTGTTTTGAAAGTCGATTGCAGTAGATGAGAATAGTAAAATAACTGCCATACTTTTAGGGAAACTTTCAAGACTAGAGAGAAATCAGTTATGGAAAAATGATTTTATGATATAATTTTATTCTTTTTGAAGAATGATTTCCAGAAAATGTATTCCTGAAAATGTATTCCTCCGAAAGATCGAAACTGGGTCGTTTTAGACTTGTTGTAACTCTGTCGAAAATATGCTATGTTGGGAAACTTTTTCTGTTGAACTTGTTTCTCGGCGATACAGATTTATTGGGGAAGTAATATTGTTCTTGCACAATATTAATAGTTAACAAGAAAAATATATATGTATATAACACGTGTAAAATATGTATGTATATAACACGATGAATTGGTATGCAATGATAAATGAGTATACAAAAAGTAACATGATCAACTAACAAACTCCTTGTCGTTGCCTTGGACAATAATTTGACTGTCGGTTGGTTGATAGGTCGTTGAGTTGGGAATATGTTAGGGGAAATGTATTTAATGAATAGAAGAATATCGTAGTTTGTTGTCCAATGGTGGGGGATATGCGAAAATATCGTTGGTTGTGGGTTAACCCCGAAGGATAAGCGATGAGGTTGTATCGTCTGCTAGATTGTAAAAACTGAACTGAACTCTTTGTCTCGGGATTTTTTCATATGAAAGCTCCATCGGGGCTATCATGAAGGTATGGCTACCCTTTAGCACTGTCCATTGTGTAGGTACTGAGACGTTTTTGTTTTACGCTGTCCATTGTTGTCTTATATCCTCTTCATTGCTTTAATTTCACTTACAAGATTTCGTTACTCCGTTTGTTGGAATATTGTGGAAATTTTATTTGAATGTAGCTTTAATTTCGGTAATTCGACAGAAAATTTGAAAGTGAGAATAAATGAGAATAAATTGAAATGATAACAGTGGAACCAACTATTGAATTAATTTGAAAAAGCAGCTTGCATTTTAAATCTCCTTTTAAAAATGTTATTGAAAAAAAAAAAGAAAAGATAGAGTTACTCTTGCGAAATGAAAATGCTCAGCGATATCGACCGAGTACAACGATGAATAGATAGATAATTGTTTTCAATATCAGAGACGACTGAAATGGTTAATAAATGGAATAATATGGTTTCTTTAAGTGTTAAGAGTTAATTGTTACGAGGTACTGTTATTTAGAATTTGTCGGAAATTGTCCTTGCATGACTGATTCTAGAATTCATTTTACGTTTGTGCAGAAAATTTGGCAAAATATTCTTTGAATGGTATAGTGTATCAGCAGTATAATGTTGTGTGGAAAGATTTAATGAAAATAAAAAATAAGCCAGTGATTTTCCTAAGAACCGTTTCAGATTTGTCTCAAGATGTCATCTCTTTCCATTTGTTGTGTGGAATACTACGCTGTTGCTATAAATAAATTGAGTTAATTAGGTTTACTATTGAAATTAACTTGATTCACTGTAAAATTCAAGTCAAAGTATAAGTTCATGCACATGGAATGATTAGATGGCTTAGATGCAGGTGCTATGTCAGCGAAGTAGAAGTTTGATCATACATGTGCGGAAGGAAAGATGAGGAATAAATATTTCTGGAAAAATAGAAAGTGGTTGGAACTTTTTGTACAGTGTGTGTTGAGGGACCATTAACTTTGATAATTTCTTTCAGATCTGGTAATTTGTCGTTGCGAGTGATCATACCATTTAACTGATTGCTAGATATCATTTGCTGGAATATCAATTAAATTTGATGTATAAACATCGACCAAGAAGGAACCAAAGTTAGGGTAGAGGAAAGGAATGTTCAGTGGATAAAAGGAGAGAATGAAAAAAGTTTGACGGAATATTTAAATCGAAACTGTCACTTAAATCCAAGTTTTTTTTTCTAGTTAAAGATGTCAGTCTCGTTCTGACTCCTTGTTCCATAGTGTTTTATTTCCGATTTTTGAACTTTTCAATAAATTTTTGGAATTCGCTAGAAAAGTCATTGAAAAAATTGATGAAAATATTAATTAGTTTTCACAAATTCTTCTTTCGTAATTTTCCTTTTTGTGATATTTTTTGTTTTACATGAGAATTTCAGACAAATATTAGAAATTTGTATAGGTCTCTACTATGAAAAAGGATTGTTAAAAATTTGCTGTGGATATTCTCATGTAAAACAAAAATTCGTCGTTATGACGAATAGTGAAAATATTTAACCGTAGTTTGATGCAAAAATTGCTGTTTTGAAATAGTTTGCATCATTTTAAAACTCAGTATGTTACGATGTATAAATTTCATTGTGAAAGTTCTGTTTATATTCATTGTGATGGCTAAAAAGATGAAGCAGAAGAATATTCATTTACAGAAAAATATTCATTTACCAATCATTTAAAATAATACTAGTTGTTATGATAGTACCATAAGTTGTTAAAATAATTCTAGTTGTTATCATATGTACGATAAGTTTGTCTAGTCGTTATGATATGCATTTATCTAATGTATTTTTATAAAAACTGATTTACGTCTCTTAAAAACTGATTTATGTCTCATAATTGAATAATTAGGAAATGTTCCTTTTTTTCTTCATTTCGTTATGTCTGGTTGTATATTGTGTATTGCATTGAAGAGAAAAAAAGTTGAGTATATTTATGTAACTCCAAATGCACCTTTTTTTTCGATGTTTACATGACGTCAAGTGCACCTGTTCATGCTTATGTTGGTAGGAAACGTCGTTAAGGTGCATAGTAGGATTTATTTTTTATTTTACATGGATTTTCAGTGCATTTGGAGTTTTTTGGAGTTTTTTTTGGCATTTTTTTAATTGTTCATTTTTTTAAACATTTTCTTAGATATTTTGTAGCCTTTCTTCGATAATTGGCGTTTAGTATGTGTCCTGCTTGGTATCCTATCAGAATCTCAGTCGGCATTTAGTCAAATTTCAGTTATTTCATTTTCGGAAGCGCAAATATGTCGGATACAGGTCGTAGTCCAGGACGTGCAGCAAGAGCTGGTTCCGGGGGAACTACAGTGCGGCAGAGACGTGGTGGTCCTTCTGCAGGTCATTTTTAAAATAACTTTTTCTATTCTTGCATATCTCTTTTCCTAGAGTTAGAAGGACATCCATTAAACTTCACGCATTGTTATGTGTTTTTTACTTTTTTTTAACTCGCAATTTGCTCCTTTCTTGGAGTAAATATATTTCATTTCAGGTTCAGGGCGTTCAGCACGTGGTGGCGTAGGTAGTGGTGGTTTATGGCGTTTTTATACAGAAGATGCAACCGGCCTAAAAATTGGGCCAGTCCCAGTGCTCGTCATGAGTCTCGTTTTCATAGCTTCTGTTTTCATACTGCACATCTGGGGCAAGTATACCCGCTCACATCACTGATGATTCATTCATGTGAAACTGCAGATTTAGTTATATTTTTGCTCATTAGGTAAGTTGTGAAGATGAACTGATGTGAAAAGCTTTTCTTTGAAGAGATAAGTTTTTGTCATTGGCTTCATGGTCTAGACCCCTTGTCCAGTTCTTATTCTAGAACAGGTGTTCCTTGTGACCGCAATTTTCCCACAATAAGGAATTGGCAATGTGAAAAGAAATCATTTGTTTTATCATAGATAAACAATTAGAATGTTTTTTTGTTAAATTTGTTTAATGTTTCAAATTCTTGATATTTTTGTGGTTCTGGAATTGTTAGCTAGATCCTTTTGTTTGATAATTGTTTGATATTATTAACTTGTGATAGTAATTTATACATGAATACGCGATGAACTCCTGTCATGTAACATGGCATAACGTTGATGGATTAACTATTTACACCTGACTTAGGAACAGTTGCAAAATAGTTTCATTGTGGCTCTTTATTTCAATCAACGTTAGCTGAGAAGCAATTTAAAGTAATTAAGTGAAGATTGCACATATTTTTCGAGTTATCGAAAATATTGAAGCTAACTTCATTAAAGTTAGCGTTATAGGCGGACAAATCTACTGTTGTTGAATTCAGTTTAAAAACCATAATATGTTTTCATCACTGTTTGATACTACAGTTATTAATCATGATGGTTTGTTTGGTTGTGAAGAAATTACACATAAATGACAATAAATGTATATGTTCTTTCCATTTAGTTGCCACTACGACTACTAATGCAGTCACTCTTTTGTTACCCCACGACAGTACATAACAAAACCTTACTGGAATGATCTGTGCTTTTATTTTATACTTTTGCATCAGTTCGTTAGAGCTCAGCTTTTGTTTTCCTTGGAAGTTAGTTGAAAAGTTTTTCATTGTGCGTAATGTGTTTTAGCATTTGTTCTTAGAGGCTTTATAAGAGAGTGGGGGAATGAGTTAGTAATTAATTAAATTTCAAAATGAGTTAATAGAATGAGTTAGTTAGTTAAATTTCAGTTCGGTTAGTGGCGCAATATAGCGAAACGATAACGTTGAGGACGTTTGTACAGTAACTAGTGTTTTAGGTTTCATTTGGCGAGAAATGCGCGACGCTGTACAGCGGATAACTGTATGGAAATTTTGATTATTTCTGGAGGTGTTTATGCGCGGCCTTTGATTTAATTAATATTTCCCGGATAAGAACAGTCTCGGTTCTAACGTGATGTATTCGGTATTTTCAGGTTTGCAGTGGTGCCATTAGTGATAATTAATGGTATTAATTGAAATCGTTCAAAATAACAGAGAAATGACAGATTCTGCTGTGCACTCAAAGAAAGAGAAGTCGTTGAAAAGAAAAAAAGTGACAGGAAAGGTTCGGTCTAATGAAGTAATTTTATTATGCTTTCTTTGTATGAAGAGACTGCAGTATGGTCCCTAAGGTCCCTGCAGAAATTTAATGGTACATTCAAATTATACGCATGTTAGTAACAGTGGTGCTTCGAAGGTGTCACATTAGAAGAGTTTTTCATCGTTCGATTTGTAAGTTTTTTAAGAGTTCATTTCATCTGAAGACAAACCTTTTAGATCTTAAAGTATGCAAAATTTCGGTTAATAATTATGACTAATAATTCATAATTAATAATTCATATTTGTTAGGTAATAAATTTCTTATTGCAATATCTTTCTTGTTAGGATGATGACCTCTTAACATATATTCTACGATATTTTATCTTGTTACTGGGGATCAAAGACAGATTAATAAGGATGAAATATATATATATATATATATATATATATATATATATATATATATATATATATATATATATATATATATATATATAGTATATAT